AGGGACCCATGACAGATTACGGGCCCTGGCAGCAGCATGAGGAGGCGGTACAGGGGCCCATGACAGATTACGGGCCTGGCAGCAGCAATGGGAGGCCCGTAATCTGCCAGCACCCTATGACAAAATGGAACCCACCAGCAGTGTGAGGAGACTGAAAGTGGCACATGGCAGTGTGGCGATGGAGACATGGGCCCCCTGGCTACGTTTGACTTCTGGCCACATAGTCGACATACGGCTACGTTTACTTCCTCGGGCGGCTTGACGAAAATTGCCACACGCCGAGTAGGAAACTTTGCCCCCGCTACTCCTCACTGGCTGACTGCTACTTCCTCCATGTACACCGGCACCACTACTGGCCGTGGTGGTAGGCTGCAGTGGAGCTGGTGCTCTACTCCGTGGCCGTTTGCCTCCACTGACACTGCTGCGACCCTGCTGCCTCCTGGGCAACCCACCGACTGTTTTGCTCGCTGCCAAGCTGGCACCCTCTTCTCCTGATGATGCGGAAGCAATAGCCTGATGACGACGAGGCTGCCAAGTGCGATCAGCCTCATCATCATCAATTAGGGTCTCCGCCTCACTACTAGCCCCCTCGGCTGCGTGTGGGTCAGGAGACAGACCTGTCTCTAGACCGGCTACCGAGCCACTCTCCTCGCCAGTACTTCTTCGCCTGGCTGCTGAAGAGGCGGATGTCTCCCCCCGTTCCTGACCGCCCTCTGTTAGCTCTTCCTCACTGTACAGTGGGGCTGAGCCCACAGCATGCGATACTTTGCTTGGTGAGGGAACACCAAAGGACAGGGGCAGGTAGAGGACACGTGATTTCAGTGGGCTTGCTCCCGGGCCATGCCAACTAACGGTTGTGTCTGACGTACCCACCGACCGTTGGCTGTAGGTGTCAGAGGTGACCTGGGAAGAGGAAGACGACCGAGCCAACCAATCGATGACGGCAGGGTTGTCGGTGGAGACACGACCGCTGGATGACACCGGGGAGCACTGGCCTCTGGCTGCGACTAGTGCTGCCTCGACCCCTTCTTCTGCTGCCACGTCTGCTCGCTCCTGAAACATTGCCTCCTCTGCCACTCCTCTGCGTGTTGTCTGACATACTCTTTAATTCAACGATTCTGTGTCCCTGAGTAACAATTCTGTGTCCCTGAGTAACAATTCCGTGTCCCTCAGTAACGATTCTGTGTCCCTCAGTAACAATTCTGTGTCCCTGAGTAACAATTCTGTGTCCCTGAGTAACAATTCTGTGTCCCTCAGTAACAATTCTGTGTCCCTCAGTAACAATTCTGTGTCCCTCTGAGTAACAATTCTGTGTCCCTGAGTAACAATCTGTGTCCCTCTCTGAGTAACAATTCTGTGTCCCTGAGTAACAATTCTGTGTCCCTGAGTAACAATTCTGTGTCTGTCCCTGAGTAACAATTCTGTGTCCCTGAGTAACAATTCTGTGTCCCTGAGTAACAATTCTGTGTTCCTGAGTAACAATTCTGTGTCCCTGAGTAACAATTCTGTGTCCCTGAGTAACAATTCTGTGTCTGTCCCTGAGTAACAATTCTGTGTCCCTGAGTAACAATTCTGTGTCCCTGAGTAACAATTCTGTGTCCCTCAGTAACAATTCTGTGTCTGTCCTGAGTAGTAACAATTCTGTGTCTGTCCTGAGTCTGTGTCCCTGAGTAACAATTCTGTGTCCCTGAGTAACAATTCTGTGTCTGTCCCTCAGTCCTGTGTCCCTCAGTAACAATTCTGTGTCTGTCCCTGAGTAACAATTCTGTGTCCCTGAGTAACAATTCTGTGTCCCTGAGTAACAATTCTGTGTCCCTCAGTAACAATTCTGTGTCCCTCAGTAACAATTCTGTGTCTGTCCTCAGTAACAATTCTGTGTCCCTCAGTAACAATTCTGTGTCCCTCTAGTAACAATTCTGTGTCCCTCAGTAACAATTCTGTGTCCCTGAGTAACAATTCTGTGTCCCTCAGTAACAAATTCTGTGTCTGTCCCTGAGTAACAATTCTGTGTCCCTCAGTAACAATTCTGTGTCCCTCAGTAACAATTCTGTGTCCCTCAGTAAACAATTCTGTGTCTGTCCCTGAGTAACAATTCTGTGTCCCTCAGTAACAATTCTGTGTCCCTCATTAACAATTCTGTGTCCCTGAGTAACAATTCTGTGTCCCTCAGTAACAATTCTGTGTCCCTCAGTAACAATTCTGTGTCCCTCAGTAACAATTCTGTGTCTGTCCCTGAGTAACAATTCTGTGTCCCTCAGTAACAATTCTGTGTCCCTAAGTAACGATTCTGTGTCCCTAAGTAACGATTCTGTGGCCCTAAAGTCTCTCTGGCCCTAACTCTGTCCCTAATACAGACAGGTCTGTCTCTCTTGAATGACCGGAGGCTAATGGAGAATTGTAAGATGGCCGCAATTTATAGCTCCACCATTACACAGTGCTGGCTGGCTGGCTGCTGATTGGCTAATGCGATCACATGTCATGAATGAATGCATTATGGGTCAGCGCGCCTTGTCTGCGCGCCTTCCCAGAGATCCCCGCTCCGTCGCCACACATGTCGCCGCCATTTTTGGGAAAATTCGATTCGTGCATCCGAAGTTGGCTAATTTTCGGATTCGGCGCGAATCGAATATTTCCCAATATTCAAAACGAATTCCACTTCGCCATGTTCGATTCGCTCATCTCTAGTCTTGGCCACCGTGCTGCAGCTCAGTTTCTGGGTCTTGGCAACCTTCCTATAGCCCAGGCCATCTTTATGTAGAGAAACAATTCTTTTTTTTCAGATCCTTAGAGAGTTCTTTGCTATGAGGTGCCATGTTGAACTTCCAGTGACCAGTATGAGATAGTGAGAGCGATCACACCAAATTTAACAGACCTGCTCCCCATTCACACTAACGAGTCACATGATGGAACATGGCTAATTGAGCCCAATGTGGACATTTTCACTTAGGCATGTACTCACTTTTGTTGCCAGCAGTTTAGACATTAACCAATTCAATACCGGGCAATTTTACACCTTCCTGCCCAGGCCAGTTTTCAGGTTTCAGCGCTCTCACACTTTGAATGACAATTGCGCAGTCATACAACATTGTACCCAAACTAAAATTTTATCATTTTCTTCACACAACTAGAGCTTTCTTTTGGTGGTATTTAATCACTGCTGGGGTTTTTATTTTTTTTGCTAAATTAACAAAAAAAAAGACCACAACTTTTGAAAGAAAACACGTTTTTCTTTGTTTCTGTTATAAAAGTTTGCAAATAAATAATTTTTCTTCATAAATTTAGACCAAGATGTATTCTGCTACATGTCTTTGGTAAAAATAACCCAAATTAGGATGTATTTTTTAGTTTGTAGGAAAGTTATAGAGTTTACAATCTATGGTATAGATCTGAATATTGATCAATCCTGAAGTACTGATCTAATTTCTTGAGGTCCAAGAATGTCAGAACAGTACAGATATCCCCCAAATGACCCCTTTTTGCAAAGTAGACAGTCCGACGTACTTCATAAGAGGCATGGTGAGTTTTTTGAAGTTGTATTTTTTTTTGTCATAATTTTTCGGAAAATGAAAAAATGTAAAAAATTAGTTTCACTATTTTTTTTACATATTGTCACCAGTGCAGTACAGCATCATCATATAACTGGCATGGCGGTGATCAGGCACACTGACTGGTGACAGTGGGACAGGTGGGGGGTAGTGGGACAGGAGAAGCGCAGAGGGACAGGTGAGGGACAGTGGGACAGGAGGAGCGCAGAGGGACAGGTGGGGGGCAGCGTGATGGGGGCATGAGACAGGATCGAGGCAGCGAGACAGGAGCACAGAGGTACAGGTGAGGGGCAATGGGACAGGAAGAGCGCAGAGGGACAGGTGGGGGGGCAGTGGGACAGGAGGAGGGCAGAGGGACAGGAGGAGCGCAGAGGGACAGGTGGGGGGTAGTGGGACAGGAGGAGGGCAGAGGGACAGGAGGAGAGCAGAGGGACAGGTGGGGGGTAGTGGGACAGGAGGAGGGCAGAGGGACAGGTGGGGGGCAGTGGTACAGGAGGAGCGCAGAGAAATACTTTTAAACTTTTTTTTAATATTATTTATTTAATTTTTTTTGCTCTGACCCTTTAAAAAAAATTTTTTAATCCCTTTCATTCTTATCACAAGGAATGCATGCATCCCTTGTGATAGAAATAATTAGTGGCAGGTCCTCTTTATGGAGAGATGTGGGGTCAATAAGACCCCACATCTCTCCTCTGCAATGTAAAACAATATATCAAAAAAAAGCATTGATCTAGTGCTTTAAAAAAAAATGCCCGGAAGTGACATCGCTCTGGTCTTCCAAGGGCATAGAGATGAGTGGAGGCCATCTTTCCTTCACTAATCTCCATGCCTAGCGCCGGGATCATTCTCTGGTTTCTCCAGGTAAGGCTGAGAACTACTGGGCGGCAGTGGCGTGCGGGTGGCGGCGAGGGGTGGGTTTTTTTCAGCACCTGTATAGGTGATAATTTCCATATCGGCTGATGGCCGAAAGGGGTGTTTTTGGCCACTGAAATTTCGGTGCATCCCTACTCATATGTCTATTTACCAAAAGACAGCTTCTGAATATGTCACTGAGCACGTGCACTCAGCTTCTTTGGTCGACTATGGCGAGGCCTCTCCTGTAAAACCGCTGTATGGTCTTGTCTAGAGATGAGCGAAGTATTCAAAAATTTCGATTCGGCTGATTCGGCGAATTCGCGGAATAAATTCGATTCGAGTCGAATATATTCGCTGCGAATTTAACTTATAAAAAGGGTGTTTCTAGGCTTCAGAGAGCCTTTATATTAGTGCAGAACACTGTACCTTTAATTTAAATGCCCTTGGAGTCTGCTGGGGAAGAGAAATAATACTGTCAGTCAGTATGACATGCAGATGAGTGCCGTCGATCTTAGAATCACCGCACACTTCACTCATTTGGGCAGTCACGGGGCCAAAACCAGAGTGTGGAGCCACAGTGTGGCGGTAGAGGGCAGCAGCAATGGGAGGCCATTCAGCACCCTATGACAAAATGGAACCCACCAGCAGTGTGAGGAGACCTGAAAGTGGCACATGGCAGAGTGTGGCGATGGAGACAGCAGCAATGGGAGGCCGTACAGGGACCCATGAGACACTCTGGACCTGGCAGCAGCATGAGGAGGCGGTACGGGGGCCCATGGCAGATTACGGGCCTGGCAGCAGCAATGGGAGGCCCGTAATCTGCCAGCACCCTATGACAAAATGGAACCCACCAGCAGTGTGAGGAGACCTGAAAGTGGCACATGGCAGAGTGTGGCGATGGAGACAGCAGCAATGGGAGGCCGTACAGGGACCCATGAGACACTCTGGACCTGGCAGCAGCATGAGGAGGCGGTACGGGGGCCCATGGCAGATTACGGGCCTGGCAGCAGCAATGGGAGACCCGTAATCTGCCAGCACCCTATGACAAAATGGAACCCACCAGCAGTGTGAGGAGACCTGAAAGTGGCACATGGCAGAGTGTGGCGATGGAGACAGCAGCAATGGGAGGCCGTACAGGGACCCATGAGACACTCTGGACCTGGCAGCAGCATGAGGAGGCGGTACGGGGGCCCATGGCAGATTACGGGCCTGGCAGCAGCAATGGGAGGCCCGTAATCTGCCAGCACCCTATGACAAAATGGAACCCACCAGCAGTGTGAGGAGACCTTAAAGTGGCACATGGCAGAGTGTGGCGATGGAGAAACAGCAGCAATGGGAGGCCGTACAGGGACCCATGAGACACTCTGGACCTGGCAGCAGCATGAGGAGGCGGTACGGGGGCCCATGGCAGATTACGGGCCTGGCAGCAGCAATGGGAGGCCCGTAATCTGCCAGCACCCTATGACAAAATGGAACCCACCAGCAGTGTGAGGAGACCTGAAAGTGGCACATGGCAGAGTGTGGCGATGGAGACAGCAGCAATGGGAGGCCGTACAGGGACCCATGAGACACTCTGGACCCTGGCAGCAGCAGCATGAGGAGGAGGTGGTACAGGGGCCCATGACAGATTACGGGCCTGGCAGCAGCATGAGGAGGCGGTACAGGGGTCCATGAAAGATTACGGGCCTGGCAGCAGCAATGGGAGGCCCGTAATCTGCCAGCACCCTATGACAAAATGGAACCCACCAGCAGTGTGAGGAGACCTGAAAGTGGCACATGGCAGAGTGTGGCGATGGAGACAGCAGCAATGGGAGGCCGTACAGGGACCCATGACACACTCTGGACCTGGCAGCAGCATGAGGAGGCGGTACAGGGGCCCATGGCAGATTACGGGCCTGGCAGCAGCAATGGGAGGCCCGTAATCTGCCAGCACCCTATGACAAAATGGAACCCACCAGTAGTGTGAGGAGACCTGAAAGTGGCACATGGCAGAGTGTGGCGATGGAGACAGCAGCAATGGGAGGCCGTACAGGGACCCATGACAGATTACGGGCCTGGCAGCAGCATGAGGAGGCGGTACAGGGGCCCATGACAGATTACGGGCCTGGCAGCAGCAATGGGAGGCCCGTAATCTGCCAGCACCCTATGACAAAATGGAACCCACCAGCAGTGTGAGGAGACCTGAAAGTGGCACATGGCAGAGTGTGGCGATGGAGACATGGGCCCCCTGGCCACGCTTGACTTTCTGGCCACATAGTCGACATACGGCTACGTTTACTTCCTCGGGCAGCTTGACGAAAAATTGCCACACCGCCGAGTAGGAAACTTTGCCCCCGCTACTACCCTCACTGGCTGACTGCTACTTCCTCCATTGTACACCGGCACCACTACTGGCCGTGGTGGTAGGCTGCAGTGGAGCTGGTGCTCTACTCCGTGGCCGTTTGCCTCCACTGACACTGCTGCGACCCTGCTGCCTCATGGGGCAACCCACCGACTGTTTTGCTCGCTGCCAAGCTGGCACCCTCTTCTCCTGATTGATGCGGAAGCCAATAGCCTGATGACGACGAGGCTGCCAAGTGCGATCAGCCTCATCATCATCAATTAGGGTCTCCGCCTCACTACTAGCCCCCTCGGCTGCGTGTGGGTCAGGAGAACGACCTGTCTCTAGACCGGCTACCGAGCCACTCTCCTCGCCAGTACTTCTTCGCCTGGCTGCTGAAGAGGCGGATGTTCCCCCCGTTCCTGACCGCCCTCTGTTAGCTCTTCCTCACTGTACAGTGGGGCTGAGCCCACAGCATGCGATACTTTGCTTGGTGAGGGAACTCACTGAGCACAGTGGGCTGATACTTTCGCTTGGTGAGGGAACACAAAGGACAGGGGCAGGTAGAGGACACGTGATTTCAGTGGGCTTGCTCCCGGGCCATGCCAACTAACGGTTGTGTCTGACGTACCCACCGACCGTTGGCTGTTAGGTGTGTCAGAGGTGACCTGGGAAGAGGAAGACCGAAGGCCGAGCAAACCAATTCGATGACGGCAGGGTTGTCGGTGGAGACACGAACCGCTGGATGGACACTGGGAGCACTGGCCTCTGCTGCGACTAGTGCTGCCTCGACCCTTCCTCTGCTGCCACGTCTGCTCGCTCCTGAAACATTGCCTCCTCTGCCACTCCTCTGCGTGTTGTCTGACATATCTCTTTTAATTCAACGATTCTGTGTCCTGAGTAACAGAATCTTGTGGTCACTGACGTAACAATTCTGTGTCCCTATGAGTAACGGATTTGTGTCCCTCGTAAACATTCCCTTGATGTCCACCAGGATAACAGATTCCTGTTGGCGCTCAGTAAACGATTGTCATGTGTCTCTAGTAACATTCTGTGTCACTGTATGTAACAGATTCTGTGTCCCTGAGTAACAATTCTGTGAGAAAGGGCGTGTCCTCTGTGGGAGTAACGAATTCTGTGTCCACTGGAGTGAGACGTTCGCTGTGGATCCCTACGTAAAATCATATACAGCGTAAAGTAACATTTCTGTGTCCTGCTAGTAACAATTTGCTGGTGTTTGCCTGAGTTGAACAAGTTCTAAGTAATTCTGTCCCTCGTAACAGAAGTTTGTGTCGCTGTGTAACGATTCTGTGTCCCTCGCGTTGAGTAACAATTCGTGCTACGTTTCTCCTGAGTAACAATTCTGTGTCCCTGAGTAACAATTTTGCTGTCTTAGTAACTGTTTTTGCACGCTAGAGTAACCTTCCTCTGTACTGAGTTAGTAAGTTACTGAGTCCGCTAGGAGCTAACGCTCACTGTGTCGGCCTCAGTAAACAAGTTATGTGTCCTGTGTAACAATTTGGGTTCGTCTATGCAGTAACAATTCTTTGTGGCCCTAAGTAACGTTTCGTGTCCCTTGAGTAACAATTTTGTGGCCTGAGTAAACAAATTCTGTGGCTAGTAACGTCGTCTGGCTCAGTAACAATTCCTGTGTCCCTGAGTAAAATTCTGATGTTTCGAGTAACAATTCTGTGTCTCGACGCTAAAAAGTTGTGTTTGTTGAACAGTAAATTAAGATTCTGTGCGTAGTCTGTTCCTGTAGTAACAATCGCGCTGTGTCCTCGTAACAAAATCTGTGTTTTTCTTCTGACGACTCAATTAGATGTGTCTCGGGTGGCGCGCCGATATTTAGTTGTCGACTTATCACTATCAAAGAATTCTGTGTCTATTGAGTAAGAATTCTTGTTGTTTTCGCTCCCTCAGTAACAATTTGTGTCCTAAGTAAAAATTCTGTGTCCTCCCAGTAAAAATTTTGTGTCCCTAGTAACAATTCTGTGTCCCCCCATTAAAAATTCTGTTTTTCCCCGAGTAACAATTCTGTGTCCCCCAGTAA